CCTTCTGCTCACAACTACTCCAATGAGCCCACAACATTTGCGCCTTTGGTCCTTTGATGGAAGAGCACAGTGTCTGGATGCACCTTCCAGTATCTCAAGGAGGCTACAAGAAAGCTGGTGAGGAGCTTTTTAGGATGTCGGGTAGTGACAGGACTAGGGGGAATGGATTGCAGATAGAGGCAGATCGGTTCAGATTGGACGTTAGAAAGAAGTTCTTCCCCATGAGGGTGGTGAGACGCTGGCACAGGTTGCCCAGAGAGGGGCTGGAAGCCCCATCCCTGGAAGTTTTTAAGGCCAGGCTGGATGGGGCTCTGAGCAGCCTGATCTAGTGGGGGATGTCCCTGCCCATGGCAGGGGAGTTGGAACGAGATGATCTTTAAGGTCTCTTCCAGCCCTAACAATTCTATGATTCTATGAATATAATGGCCAGATCCTTCTCACGGTACTGCATACTTAGTTCACTAGTACTGCCTTGCAAATTACTTTTTTCCTTCTAGACACGGTGACTGTGAACATGTCACTGATTTCAAAACAATTTAGAAATGTATGAAGTGAATGCTGAACTGAAATCCTTACATCCAAAGTGCCTGAAAATTCCATCCTAGTTTTTTATGCAATACTCTGTATTCCAGTTCAGATTTATCAAAATACTCAACAGTCCTTAACTGATGAGAGTCCTCGGGGACTACAGTTGATACATCCTACTAATTTGCCAGTGAACCAGTAAAAACTCCTCAGAAAGCAGAGAGAGATCTCCAAATTCAAAGGCAAGCAAGGTCATGAACTTTAATATTTCAACAAATTCCCAGTGAAAGTCTACATGCATGCTCCTACCCGCGAGGAATAACCTTGTACTTTCTGCAGGGTAAGAACTCACGTGCACACGAGGAACCCTGGCGCAACAGCCATGCTGCTGTGATGTGAAGCTGCAGCAAGCTCTTTGCTGCCCTGCACTTTTAGTTCATGTCCACAGCCAGCTGTGCTCCTGCTGCATAATATTTTCATCTATGCCTTTTCTTTTCCCCACAGTCTGCTTCTGAGACCAGAATATGAAACCAATACTGAGTCCTGATAAAATGTATGATACCCATCACTTGAGCAAATACATCACTGGAGCACACCACTTCCAGCTAGCTCTTAGTAATTTCTTAGACTCCTCTGGCCGGCGTTTCAGGGAGATGCTTACCCTCTAGCCTTTAGGAGAACTTTACAATTACCTCATATCTCATTTTTAAGGAACTGTCACACCTACCAAAGACATCCTGAAAACAAAAGCAGTAATCTTCTAAAAGGCACGGTCAGCCGATCTGTGTCACAGTGGCACAAACCAGTATAACACTGAACCATTCTGGGAAGCTGCATGTGCACAACACCTTTGCACAACTGCCCACTGAATATTTCACTGTGAACATCATTTGCTTTTGCAAATACTAGCTTCAAGAGGCAAACACTTTGATTTTATTGATTACATTTGGAGTCACAGAATTACATGGTCACTTTGGAGGCTGGACAGGATCTCTGGAGGTCATTTGGTCCAATCACTCCACACAAAACAGCACCAGCTAAATTGCGTTGCCCAGGGCCGAGCTCAAGTCAACTTCTTGTCCATGTCCAAGGACAGAGACGCCACAACTTCCCTGAGCAACCTGTTTCACTACCAAGGTGAAAAGCAGTTTCCTAATATCTAACTGGCATTTTCCTTGTTGCAGCTTGTGTTTGTTGCCTCCAGCAATAATGAGCCCATGTGAAAAGAGACTGGCTTCACCTTCTTGATAAACTGACACTAAATAGCTGGAGAAAGAGAAAAGGGACGAGAGAGAAAAGGGACAAGAGACAAGAAAGAAAGACCTCCCAGTCCCCTTACTGTTCTCTACTCTGGGCCAAGGGAAAAAAAAATTAAAAAACAGTCCTCTAAATCTCTCACTGTGTTTTCCAAATAATGTTATATATTAAAAATGCTTTTTAACTGTAACTGCTGAAACATTCACATAACACATAATCACACCAAGACCAAGAGCTAAGACCACCCTTGGACATTTAACAGAGCTAAGTAACTTAAAAGGAAAGCAGACAAAGAGATGACCCTTTCCACAGTATCTCATGTAGCCAGAAAGGGATTTTATTTACAATATTTAAATGCAGTACTGTGAAACAAACAACTGGGTTCACAGGCAATGTACCCGCTGCTGAACTGTCACTGCCTGACATCCCGTCTTATCTGCCAAATTGCTCATTAGGGTTGGCAATTTTCACCTGCGCCTCCAGTTTATATTTCAGCAGGGAATAAACATCAGTCTGCTTTAACAATCTTCTGCAGTGAGCTTCCAACCTCTTCTCAGAAAGCACGCAGGCACACACAAAAAATGCTTTGTGTACCGTGTGCTGAGAAAAAAAAAACAGCTCAACTGATGAAATACAACAAGAAGTTTAATTTCAGTAAGAGAAAAGCAGTAAAAGAAGAAGAGATAAGGAGCATAAATAAATCAACTGCTGGTATCAACAAACTGTATTTTCACATTGCAAAACAACACAGGGGGCATGGGCCAGCCTCACTTTTGTTTCCACATTGAGATGGGAAGACTCAATTTGACACAGCCTCCCCATGTGCCAAGTACAGGCTGTGTTCGTGCATGGGAAAAGAGGGAATCCAGCTGAATATTACTCTTCCAGCTGGACCTGATCAAGCTAACCTTTCCCTTGCTGGGAGAGGAGCGATGGCGTGATCTATAAACAAACAGAAGGGGTAGCATGGCAACCAGAACAAAGAGGAAAAAAACAAAATAATCTCAGCAGGCCCTTAAGCCCCAGCCTCACGCGCAGAGATGCTGCCTCGAAACCGCGGGCGCAGGTGAGCGGGACCAGGATGGCACAAAGCTCCGCTGCTGTGAGCAAAGAGCGGAGGAACAGAGCCCAGCTTGCGAGCAAAAAGCACCAGAGACGTAAAACAAAATGTCTAAAATGCCATAAACCAATTTCAGACGGAATACTGTTTTTCATTTGTTAGAAGTAAAATATTCACCGCCAACCCTGCAATTAGCTAGAAAATTACAATAATTACAGCAATTTTGTATCCCATCTCCAATCCAATTAATAGATATATGACCTTGTCAACATGTAATAATCAGGATGTGCATCTACCACAAAACTGGATGGGTTTTATTTGCTGAATAGAACTTACACAGTAAGAAGATAATTATTTGAAATACTGAGAATACCATTTGTATGCTATGCTTCACTTCACAAGTTATAAAGGAAATACAATAGGGATATTATTTCCATTTTCAATGTATATTTAAATGAAATTCTGGAAATAGGTATGTTTAATACAGGATAATATTATTGGACTGGGATTCTAAGCCTGTGGTTTGGAACATTAAAAAACAAAATACACCTAACTGTAACCATCAATCAGTCAATAAATAAATAAATTACCTAGATAAGAGAACATCTCTGATTTCTGACAACATCTTTATGACAAATTGTTTCACCCATTTTATTTTGCCTGCTTTTATGAAAACTGTCAAAAGAGCTATAATTTTTACCAGCAATTTAAAAAGTCTTCTGCATTTCTATAGACCTTTGTACTGCAGGGTCTCAAAGCACTTTTTGGTCATTTTAGTAATCGGTGAACTATTTCAGGTGTTTTCCAGAATGTCACCGAAGATAAGTGAACTGTCTTATGTATCATTGAATTTTATCTGCACTATATGATTTTGATGCACTAACATCAGGGTACTGTATAACACACAAGATAATCACATTAAGGTGAAAATGTGTATGTCTTTGCCTGCTCTAACCCCGCCCCCCGAAGTTGAGAACCCAGGAGGACAGCTTTTTGGCTTATGCATGGAAATGAGATACGCATTTAGCCGTCGCATACTCTAGTGACAGCAAAATGGAAAGGTCCTGAAATTCCAGAATACCTCTTTATTCTGCCATTAAGCCTCTCCCTAATTTAATTCCGTGTCATAATGAAGCACAGTAATAGCCTGAAAAGACACACATTCAAGTCTTTGTAAGCCAGTTGTTAAATGTTGTCCCCTTAATTTTACGGAAAATACTCTGGTGCAAAACTTCTCAAACTCATGAGAGTGGTAACTTTTCCATTTGTGTTTTACCCAACTACTTAAACACAGCTTTTATCCATTAAAAGAACATCTATAGAAAAGTAATCTCCTAGGAATTATAAATAGTTGTTTAAAGCATTGTATCTATAGAATATCAAAGGACTAACTAACTTCTGCTGAGAATTTTCTGGAGTGGAGTCACTACTTACTTCAGAAGTTCAGTGAGTAAAATGATAGACAATACCTGTAAGAGGGCACAATGCTTTATCCAACATCGTCTTGGTACTTTAAACATCAGTGAAGATTACACAGTAAATTTTGGTGTGTGTTTGTTCTTCTTAAGCTGAAATACTCAAAGAATCTGCCTGAGTAAGAACTGTGATACACAATTCCTGCTTCACAGTTTTGCAACAAACGTTCCCCATGTTGAAATAAAATAGAGGGATGTTCCTGGCTGTGGTTTTGGGTTTTAAAGAAATGTATTTTCCTAACACAGTAAATATACATATCAGCAGGTGTTGTTATGGAAAGGTGACAAGCATAACCTAGCAACACTGAGCGAAAAAAGCTCCTGCATTTAATTTCTTTTTACCCTTTTTCTTCATTAAAGGGAATAAAACTGGCAAACTGAAAATTACACTGTGCAGCAACTGCATTTGGAAATTCTGCTGTGATTTTCAGCATGAGGACAATTTTAAACTGGCAGCACAGGAGGAGTTTATTGCTCCTAAAAGCAGTTTATAAATAATTTATTAAAACAGAAAGGTTTGTTTACTTGCATGCAACAAGCATTTACGCAGTTTCTCAATTCTGATGAGCTTCCGATAAGGACAGATAATGAATCATTTTCCCAGCAGCATAAATGGGTAACAGCACTTGGCATCCTCATAAATTAAGATGAAACACGTTGAGATACTGAGAACATTTACTTACTTGCGCGAAGGACTGAAGGGGTGACCTCAATTTCACTTGCTGCCTGGTAAGGCTGGAAGGCCGACGCCGCATTGGAGCCAAGCTCACTGCCAAAAATCTCCGGGCTTTGTGTGCCTGTTGAGCTGGCGCTGGTGCCATCACCTCCATGGTGTGGATCTTGCTCATCAAATACAGCTACAAGCTGCAAACGACAAATTAACCAACTGTTAAAAAACCCCACCTTTCAGCAGCATTCATGTGCCATCATAAATAGGTGTTTCATCATTTCTTCCCACCAAAGAGCAGGAAGTGTCTATCAGCGGAGACTCAGATCAATCTCCAGATCACAACGTCATCAGCCCAAGGAAAGGCAGCCATGAGCTGGAAAGCCCAAAGGGTCAGCAGCTCTGATGGGACACGAAACCATCGCTGGAATGGCACCAAGTCTGGAAAGGCAGGGTTGCACCTTCTTCATCGTATCCAGGAAGGCAGAAAACCACCCGAGTGCCAATCGATGCCTGTACACTGGAATTTATCGCCTGTGTTTTGATACTTCTATACACTTCTTTATCATGAAGTCAAATCATGAGCAAAATGACATTTTTATAGAATAAAAACATATAATAAGGAGTTACATTACCATGCATTCAGAGATGCAGATAAAATATAAAGCCACCCAAAACTGTTGTTACCACAAGTTATCATGTGTTAACCTGCCATCTATTCATCTATCATCTATTATTATAATTTAGGTTGTGGGCTTCCCTTCCAAATTTTTTTTTGTCAAATTTATGGAGATACTTCTGTATTTGACTGCAACCAGCTTCTCCAAGAGAAGCCTAGGGACTCAAGTTCAACTTGAAACTTAGCCAAGTCATTAATTTAATAAAGATTTACTAAATCTATGGTCACCATTGCAAGGGAAATAAGAAAAACATCACAATATCTTTTGGTAAATCCAAGATATTTTTTTCACTCTAAACAAATGCTTTTATCTGAAACAAATAATTTATTCCAATTTATCTTTGGTGACCGACTGAAAGAGAAAAGGCCAGCTTTTACACACGTTTAATTTTAGAACTTAATTTTCAAGATGGGTAAAAAAAGTTCTATCGTTAACAGTATTCTGCAGCCTATAAATTAATCTATAATGTAATAGTGGAAAGACATTTCCAAGAAAGCATTCCATTCTTCTGTCCAAATTGGTAGGGTAAATGGAGCAAATCAACTTAAACCTACAGTGATCTCTGCAAATTGTTTATATTCTAGAACAACACTTAAGGCTTCATATAACCTAAAGGAATCGGAGGTAATTTCCTTTCCCCTTCCCTTGCCTTTTTTTCTTTTCTTAAGTGAATTTGACATCATCTCATCCTACAGATTTTAATATTAGTCCCTTTACTCAAATCTAACTTATATAAACATGAGCAAAAACATTCAAAACCGTAAATGAAAGCTCAAGTGGGAATCAGTTTGAAATTCAGGCATTAACTTTTTTTTTTTACTGGTAGTTTTGAAATTGCAAACTTGTGCCAATAATTTTGTACCTAATGCAAATATAGGCTCTGGCATGTACAAAACAAAAAGAATTAATTGATAATGGCTAAAACATCCACGCTTTCAACAGTGTTATCTGAAAGGTAGGGAGCAGAAGGAAAACTAGGTTGCAGCTGCAGACATCTAGAGCATGTTTTAACATACAATTCATTCTTTTATGCTTGAGAAATCTACACACACACGAGACATGACAATACCTAAAATGTCAGTAGCTCAAGAGTATTGGAAATTTAACTTTCTAACAAATTGTGAAATACCAATGCTTACACACAATTGAAGCATATTTCTCAAAATGAAGCACGCTTGACTCATAATACTTTTACTATCTATTTTGTAACAAGCTAATTACCAATCTCCAGCAACTGAAAATAAATAAACACACAAGTAAAAATGTTTAAGGTATTAGAACAGAAGGCATGAAACATCAAATCTTTTTCTCCTTTGCGTGGCATGTATCAAGATAAATTCCAAAACTGCATTCTGTTCCTTTGAGCCTAACTGAAAAATACTGCTAAACGTATGCCGCTGCAAGTACTTTATATATCTTATACACATACATATCTAAAAGGGTACATGTATATAAACCTCTATATAATGTATGTTCTACTGTAAGTTGCCTCCAGCTTCTTTGCCTACTTCAGACAGCCTACAACCTATGACTTCAGAACATCTTAAAAAGTGTTCCTCATTTCAAGCTTAGCTTTTGATCTTATGTATTTTCGCAGGTATTCGCCACTTTGACAGCATCAAACCTTCAAAAGGCTTCAGTTCCATTAAAAAGCATACCAAGTTGTAACATTTTTGCATATAACATGTGAAGAAACACAAGTGATGTAGGTCTTCTCCAAATCTAATTAGCATTAGGAACGCAGGTGAGGAAGTTCTTTGTAAAACAGCATTACAAAGGTACACTCATTCCTCATAATGAGCTAGAAAGTCTTCAGGGCTGGAAGACTTAATGTGAATAAACAGTGTTGGATTTTGATTTCCAGAGCTTTCTGTGCCACTCTGCAGATGAGCTCACAAGAAACAAGGACAGCCAAAACATCTTCCACTGTACTCTGATCTCAAGTATTCGTTTCTCATTTCTCCAACAGATTTTATTTTAATGAATGGTAATTCCTTGAGGAAAGGAATTATACACTTTTCTACCTCTGAAGGCCCAGAACTCACACCTTGATTGCCATCTTTGTAGGAACAATATCAAAAAACATCTGAAGAGACACCTTACAGCTACTTAGAAAGAAGCCACACGAGTAGGTCACTGGATCTGCAAAGAATTCTCTGCAGCAGAAATCTACAGCAACAAACGCTGCCAGGGAAACAACTGGCCTGTCAATGAGATGCCAGTCACATGTAAAGGCCAAAGAGATGGTTTTAATTCGGCAAAGCTTGGAACACAAATTACTAGGCCAGCTCTTACCAGCCTTAAAAGTCAACGATAAACCTGTAATATTCTGCTAGCCTTTAAATATAGATTTACAAAGAAAAGAAAGATGACTTTTTTCTAGAAACAACTGCATCTATACTGTAGGGGGACTGCCTGTATGCTGTCTTTAAATAAATAAACACACACACACAGTGCTGCTTTTCAAATGCAAGGAACTGCATACTCCTTTCCCAAATCACTCTGTGATCGCTCCCAACACCTGACATGAGCTGTGCCTCCTGCTCTCTGACTTTCGGTTTGAAATCTCATCACTTTCAATGACCTGAGAAACTCATCACACCATCCATTCTTATGCAGAAGGGATCAGCAGAAGGGCTGAACAAACCATAATAATGCACAAAGAATGAACAAGCTAAGAATTTGGTCCCCAGTGGAAGTATATACTATTTTTTCAAGAAAAACGAAGTTTCAAATATTCAGTAGCACTTTCAGATGTAAAGACAGTAGCTTTGTTCAGATCACACCTTATGAAAATGTTCATTCTATTTCCTAAATGGAATTAGAGTAAGTCTTTAAAAGGTAAATATGTATAAAATACTCCTATTTTTTAAACTTGGTAACAACAAATATACATAATTTTACATGAATTATTAACAAAATATATGATTTTTTTTTAAATCAACAGCATTCAGTGTTGACCAACTGCAATTTCTTTTAAGAAAAACTACAAAACAAAGAACTGCAGTAAAATTCAACAATTATCCCAGTGGAAAAAAAAATACTTGTGATTTTTAGTACATTTTAAAAGATGTTTTATTTATTGCTAACTATCATCCTCTGAAGGAAAAAAAAACACAACACAAACTACTGACTCGATGTTCTCTTTTGATTGATAAGAAGGGAAGTCAGATAATTTAATTCTTTTTGCTAAATATTATAGCTTCATCAAGCAAGTGGCTTACAAAGAAATGATTCTACAGCCTGAGATACTGAAGCGAAGTTGTACTGAGACACCTTTGGCTGTGGGATAGGAGAAAGCCATCCAGAAGACCACTGCATTGAGCCCTACGCAGCACATCTCACCGACTGCCCACTCCAACCTTTCATTCCTTCTGAAGAAGGCATCAGGACAAGCATCTCTATTGCTCTGTCTGGAACTCAACATACCATACTAACCAGGTTATATTTACTTAAATAAATAAAAAGCAAGAAGACTAATTTATTTTAATATTGACACAGCAGCAGCAGTCTGCATTCCAACGCCAATTATTGCAATTTCCGTCTATTCTAAGGTAATTAAAAATTAGTAAACACATATGCAGTCTTAATTAATAGACAAGGATCAAGTACTTGAACGTTAATTAACTGGATTAAAAAACTATTTGCGGCAGCAACAGTTGTTTACATCTTCACTAAGACCATATAAAACAATTTATCACTATCAACTGGTGCATCTATCTCCAGCAGAAACCCAAAAAAACCCAGAAATCCTGCACTTCACAGAAACTCATAAAGTAAAAAATTTTTGCTGTATTTTTTCCCCTCACTTAGGACAAGCAAGGTTGTCAAAAAGTCCAATTGGATTTTGCATGTTCCTAATTATCTGCCCAGAATTTGTTAATTCTTTTGTAAGAGATACTGATGAATCTGATACTGTTTCACATGTAGGCAACAATAATGATTTCAGACTTAGTTTAACATCAGTTAGAATTACAGCTCTGTTCTCCTCCTTGAAAGACAGCAAGTAATCCTCTGGTTTTCACATTCTCTGCATTTCTTGTCCACTCCTTTTAAACACAGTGTGAAACTGAAACCAACTGAAACCACCTTTTTCAATGATTAGGAGCCATTTTAAATATCCGGTTTCTTCTCACCAGAAGGACACTTGTCAGATAATTTCATATAAAGACATTCCCAATTTGTTCCACTGATGAATGACCAACCGCTCAGCAGTTGCTCTGCTGAGCAACCAGAAGTGTCTCCATTCCCTGGCTGAACCCTGCACTTCCCCTCCCGCCCCATACAACAACTTCCAGATGTGGTTTTCCCTTTTGCAGCTGCTACGGTCTTCTGGAATTCATGCTCCACATCTTCTGCAGGAATATTTTTCTGCTTCCAGCAGATTAGAGAGCAGAGCCCTTCTGAGGCAGCTCCGAGTGACGGAGCAGCTCAACCCCAGCCTCTCATGAGGTGCCCGTGCTGGCAAGGATTCAGGTTCTCAGTTTATGGTTAATAACTGAACTAAGTAACTTTTT